GTAAATACTGGTAAACATATCTTATGACAACTTTAAGATCGTGTAGCTCGACTCTGCGAGTGTTAGTCTGGTAGATTTTATGCACGTGGTATATCGTCGTCTGGTAATGGCCAAAACCAAAACGGAAGTGTAATGATGCGCAAGGTCATCACAATGTTTGCAAAAGTATAAAACAAAATATCCTTTTTAAGCATTATAACTAATTAATCAACGCTTTTTCAAAACTAACATTAGATTTAAGAGTGTGAATCGAATTGTCTAAATTATTATCTTGTCTCAAATATTTGACGTAATTTTTTTTAAAACACAATGTGTACAGTGTATTATTTGCATTGATGCATATGATATGGCACTTATTTCGTTTGGAAATAATGTATAGATTTGTACAAAAATGTTGTCAAACCATTCAAAAGTAAACCAACTGTATACACCCATGTATATGTATATCTGACACAAAAATAGTTGAAAAAGAAAAAGAATTTCTGTAATGCTGTTTAGAGCATCGCAATTTTCGAAAGAGTCGAACGACGTGCTGTTACGTTGTGTTACATGACGTTGCCCTCACGCCTGTATTGTTACCATTAAGTAGATCCGGATCACCAACTGTGTGTAATATCGCGGTCCGGAGTAGTTAACATTGTAACTGTTACCTAAACAGACCCAAGGCACCAGATACCAATCTAGGCCCGCCTCCTGTTACACTATAATATAGCTACTGTCTGGTCAGTCACATCTACGTCGGTTGAGTGATTCCATATCTCCTTTACCACCAGAGCAGTGATAATGGCGAGGACCCGGACACATATCAATGAAAATAATGGCTCGTTAGCGGCTAGACCGTGACAAACGGTAGCGACAAATTGAACTTAATGTCTCAATTAAAGAAAACGACATTTAAGTTTATGATCTGTTAACTTTCCTTATGGTTATTTTACTCTTTTAAACTCCTGTAAGTCCTCATGTTTACATACGCTCTTATTGTGGTACAAACAGGATGATGCACGCGTATCCCATCCCTATATAGTATTTAAAAAAGACAACTAACGCAGTCAATATCTAGATAGTATATGTAAACCTTCACATTGTCACGTTGTTGTTAGCTTTCAGAATGTATACGATTACTGGGTAATATTAAGATGTATTATGCCGTCAGGTTGGTGACATTACTTTTCAGTGAGACAGCGCTATGATATCGGCGTGTGTCTCACCGTTCCAACGTCGACTTGTTACTATGTACAACATCCTGTCTTATGACGTTGTTTCCTTGATGACGGCATGACTCAGCTTTACAATTGTCCTAAATGTTGACGAGGTTCTTTTTATAGCTTCATGTACATTTATATGAAGTAAAACAGTAGTTAGTGTGGCTCTGTATGTAACCGTGCAGTGACACAACTGGAAAAAAAATCATCGTTACATGTAGCATCTCAGTATTAACCAGAGCGTCATCATTGGTTGATTGACAGTTAGAGAACGCTTTGTCCCATATCTGACATGTTTGTTACAATCGAGTCGGTGACAATGATGGTCCCGATGTGACCAGATGATCGAGGACTGATGTTTATAGTACTAATAAGACGTACAGGTATTGACACACTGACGGGGGACTCTAATCGGGAATGATGGTCAGCTGAAACCATACGCGGCAAGGACGAGGGAGTTACAGAAGTCGTAATATCGCCAACGTTATAAGTATGATGAACGCGTACGGTCTCTGCTGCATTGCTCTGGATATCAAAGAGGTCAACTCTGTGCCACTTCAGACACGTGTACCAGAGTACCAAAAGAATCCAAGATTAGAAGAAATATACTGGAAAGCGTACAAAACATCATCACGAATATTGTATAAACTGATTGAGTGACTGTCTCTTTGGTAACGTGGCGACCATGAGAACAGATATCAAGAGGGCATCCATATCTATAGATGTTTCAGTTCTAATTCGGTTCTGCATTTTTGTCAAAGTATAGTGCTGAAAAAATAATGCTTACCTTTCTCGTTAGCTGGCGTAGCCTATATTAGAGCATGGTCATACCGTCTGGAAACAGTAATCGTCATTTCTATAGTCACATATGTATATATGACAATCCGACATATGTCTGCACTTAAACGAATATACCACACAGATTATATATCTATATATATACTCACGTTATCAGCCGTCGCATGTATATATCTACCTGTATCAACGATTGTTGTGGACCCTCGTTGTTAGACTAGGCCTTAGTTACACTTCCGGACGAAATTACTAAGTTTTTACATGCAGAAATAGTTCAACATTATAGCTATTGTTTCGCTCTGACCTTCGTGTACCCGTTTCACTACAGCCTTTGTGAAACCGATACCCGCCATCTCAAGTTCTAAATCTTTTAACGACCGCACAATGCTTATTTTGTGAGATTATTGTAGGTTATGTTATAAAGGGTCAAGAAATGAATCTGTTATTTATTTAGTAAACTGTACTTATAAAGCTCCTTATCAGTACAGATCGACAAAGTCATCCATCTTAAGAACAGAACCATGGGATTGGTCAGTCCAGACTTGTTAGGCTGAAAGTAAGCTCCGAAACCACCCACAAGGTATCTAAAGTTAAGGTATCCTCGTCCTTCGTCAAGACCAATCTGAGTTTGGAGTGATGCACACGAAAGCACAGCTGTTACGACACTATTTCTCGCCCCGGTGAGAAACCGTGTTAAAATTGTTGCTTTCGCAACGTGATTTATAACACCCCTCGGATTTCCTCTCCAAGATGGGAAATCGTGCAAAACGTATTGGTATGGGTGACACGGTTTATTACCCAGCACTATTTCTCATTCCCGTTTCTTTTCTTACTCTCTTCGCCTTCTGGGGTTATATAGACAACTCAAATCCTGTCTTCCTAAATGTCTTTACTATCAAAAGATATTCAAGTATGATTATCATATCACAATATCACAATTGTCCAAAATCGAATTGAATGCATTTACGACCCAGTGGACTATATGCCAATCTTAATATGATTTCTCATCCGGATGATAAATCATGGTGTAACATACTCCATGTCAAGACTCCAATGTAGACGTACGACGATCCCAATTTCGATATTTAAAAAAAAACATAAATAGGTATTTACCTGGTCAGTTGCGATAATCTCGTAATCCTCTTCCAAATTCTTGTAAATGCTCAAATAAATTACTATCCGAGGAAAATGTATATTCCTTCTAGTAACATTAAATTCGTGAACATTTCCTTAGTAGATATGAATAACTTGACATAACACGTATTTTCCCGTCCTATAATGATCGGTAAACCTTGTCACAATAGTCTATACTAATGCTAGTGTGGAAAGTCGACAAAGTTCAATGTAGCGGTTCATATACTCTCAATTTTTACAACTGAACAAAATCAACATTATTTAACTTTAGTGGAGCATGTAGAAATGCTTACCTGTGAGAGTACATGTGGTATACTACCCTATAAACGTACGCCCTGGGGGTACACATGTAAGCGACACCTTTCGGACAGGTAATCCTTACACAGGTACATTATATATGTCTGTGTAACATCATGATTCTACAATATTATACTTCGTCATCCTGAAACTCCTTAAAGAAAACACTTTTGATAAAAGAATAATCGTGAAGTTTTATCGCTTTCAGTTTTTGACTATTTGTGAGCAAGTTTTGGGAAAAAATCAACATCCCTAATGTGAATCAATGTTCCAGTCACTTTAACACCCGATGTTGTAAAACAACACGTGAGGATAATACCTTGATGGTGTTTTATGTTTAGTTTTGATCATCCGTGAATGCTATACTTGTTTGTGTACCACACTCAATAATGCTAGACGAACGTTTCTTTAGATTGTCCTTAGATTCTCTTTCGTCTATATGTAATAACTTCTGGTTTTGAACTGATATGTCGAGCGCTCGAGCTAGTTCATGTAGACTGAAATTAATATTGTGCATGTCCTAAATGTTACACATGAATAAACTTTCCCGTTAAAAAGGTAAGTGGGAAAAACTCTTAACTGATAATAAATTATAATATTGGCTAAATTTGAGTGCGTAATATGAATGCTTGTATGTATGTTCACATTTAGTGAATATATTTGAAACCCATTTGTCCGAATAATTTGTTTTTCTATAAAAGAAATCTGTCAGTATCACAAAATATCGAATTGTTTCGATACAATAACAAATTAGGGTCATTACTTGGGTAAACAACAACAGCAATTTACCTGTGTTCATCCTCTTTCATGTTGTTAGTAAAAGCAGAGACGTATAATGCATGTATTATACGTCTCTGCTAAAAGAGAAAAAGCAGTGTCTTTAATTAATTAATTAAAGATAGGTTAAATTCAATTGGAGATAGGTTCAATTCAATTCATGATATGTTGTATTTGTACATAGGTTCAATTCAATTGGAGATAGGTACAAATAATTGTACATATCTTTAATTATTTAAATATAGGTACAATTGAATTGAACTTATCTTCAATTGATTGTGCAAATCTTCAATTGAATTGAACCTTTCTTTAATTAATTGTACATATCTTCAATTTTTTGAAGACTGGTAAAATTAATTCAACTATATGTTAATTTGACGTTACATACAGCAGGGGCATAATGTATTTATTTTCTGACAATATGCACATCAATATATATATATATATATGTGCATTTTTCAAATTTGCATTGCGTGAGATCTCCATTCTGTTGTTGTTGTTGTTTTTATATATGATAATATTCCCCTTTTTTCGTCACCACAATACCATATCATAAGTATTTCTGTTCCATCATTCCCCTCGCATCTGTAAGACATATTTTACTTTCACATTGTTTTGTTAGGTTGACCTTGATCTATGTCGAAATTTAAATCATTTTCCCACAATCTATATTAACAGTTGAAACATGTTTACATATAGAATCAATGCCATTGCGCAATATAATTACTTCCCTTGCAAGAGCTCTCTTTACATGGTTAATAAAACGCTTGACAGTATCTTCCGTCAAATTGAAGAGATCAACCAACCCGGTTTATTACGCACCTGCGCAGTGCTGTGCATACCAACACTGATGCGAAGAGTTTGACGGCGTAGACGAAAAACACATCTTCGGCATCAAAATGGTATTGTTATTTGAAAACTGGAAATGTATTTAACCACTCTGTGATAAAGCAAGCAATGTGTTTTTATGTAACGTCATTTGACTGTGGTATCTTGCTTGATGAGTTTCATTCTAATATAACAGGAGAGTGTAAGGAATTGGGGGGGGGNGGGGGGGTTGTTGTCGGAATGTTTACTTGTAATAACCAGCAAAACATTCAGAATTGTCATTTAAAATGCTTCTTTTGTTTGTGTGCAAATTGTTAACCATTAATGAGTTAACAAAGACATACCTCGAGTCAATAACAAAGCTGAGTAAAGTTGTCTGACCGTTCGACTGTACTTAAAATAAGGTGTTGGAATACCTTATATCTCTGGACATTTTCTGATATTAAACCAGGATTCTGGCTGTGTATACAATATTAAAAGGAAAGTGTAGATATTGGGAGAAAATATCTATACAACATAACATGAAACTGGTTTTCTTCTATTTTTACAGAGGGCTCACATATATATTATTATATGTCAGATCATGAAATGGAACTAGAATCAAGATGCCCAATCCATTTACCCCCAAACATGCAATTATGCATCAAGTTCAGTTATTTGATTGGTTGAATTTAAAGTACCCTGTTAATCATCTTGTCAATTATGAAACCATTTCCTGTGAAAATGTTTTATCAAATTTATGTTGGTGGAGTTTTGAGTAGTGAGCCCAACAAAATCCACAATAAAGAACTTAAGAAGTTTTAAGCATTTTAATTCATTGCCCCTTATTCAAGGGCTCTAATTAAAACGAAATGAGAATTTCGTTATTATGATTAACTTTAAATCCTTTTGACCTAATTCTTTTTCAAAGTTAAGATTCCAAAAATAATGAACAAGATTTTTCAACTTTACTTCTATTAATCACTTTTGTGGGCCTTGATTGTAGCATGCATGGGGTCTTAATGCGGTAGAAAACTGGAGTACCTAAAGTGATTGGCCAGGTGACCCAATTCATTTTCACCTCTTATAAGGAATCAAACTTCTTCTTTTTCCCGTACGGAATGAACTCGCAGTAGAGTAATCAGTCTCCACCGCTGGGTGGGCGAACAGCTAAAATTGATTTTTCAGACATCTTGGTAAGAGATGAGATGCCACTCAACCACCCTAAATGTTATATTAAGACTCATTCATGGTATGTGCTTTCAGATGCTCTCAAGGCAAAAGCCGGCCATTGGGCCTGGCTCAACTACACCTGCAAAAGAAAACAAGAAAAAGAAGAAGTTACCAAAACTAGAAGATTTCCTGAGCTCAAGAGATTATACTGGGGCCATTACTCTATCAGAGGTAACACCTATACACTGTATTGGATTATATATAAATATAGTGTAAAACACTGCATGTTCCTCTAGCATTAAATGATACATTTTTATTTGTCTCTATTTCATGCTGTTTTCCTGATCATATCCAAATTAATACAAAATACATTTGATAACGGTAATAAATTAATATTTTAAATAGTGATCTGTTTTGATACCTTCTTTGTAGATTGAATTTGAAAAATAAAAGAGCAATATTATCTTCATTCTATTTGATGTGTATTTTTAACTGCCTGCTGACGTAATGATAGTACCATATAGGACCAATCAGTAGCAAAACTATATGTAGTGTTAATCAATTAATATAATTTAACACTATTAATTAATTTGATAGTCTGATTTCTACTTTTGACTGTTTTGTATTACAGTTCAACAGAATAAGTGGAAAAGGAAATGAAGAAACAGACCTGTGGATAGCCTATTGTGCATTTCACTTGGGTGATTACAAACGTGCCATGGAGGTAGGTACTCTTCATGAACTTCATTTAAGATATATTTTTCATGTAAACTTCAATTTGTGTGTACATGTGCATGGTTAAACTTTGATAATTGATGCTATGATCATGATGAAATATTTTCTGTAACAAATACAACAGCATGTTTTTTTTTAGTGTCAGCATATATAATTTATAGAATTTTCATTAAAACTAAGTGTAAAACCAGCTGACTTTTGTAGCTACTAGCTATGCACAGATATTCATTCTTTAATAATAAATTTGACTCCATTCCATATATGGCTTAAATAATTACACAATTTCAAGATTATTTATAATTACCACTTTGAGTAAATGCATTTAGACTCAATTTGGACTAGAACATTGTTAGACTAATGTACTTGATGATATACAAACGTAGTTTGTGCCCAACACATCAAGAGATAAATAAACCATTATTCCACTAGGATCAGCCTCAGGATCCAGCTCCGCTCTACAATTCTTACTGGCCCCACCCCTAAAGACTTTGTCACAGGGTCATAATCCAGGCCCTATAACCATAAACACATGCATATGAATCTCAATCAACTTTACTTTCAAGGTATACTTGTTTAATCCTGATATGTTTTTAACAATATCGACTTAATATTGTAGGAATATGAGAGAATGACAAAGCATGATGGTTGCCATCCAGATGTATGGATCAATCTGGCCTGTTGTTATTTTTTCCTTGGGATGTATTCAGAATCAGATAAGGCTGCCCAAAGAGGTAAGACTACTTTTGATTCTTATGATACAACTGCTTTCAATTTCATGCTATCTTATTCAAATTATGATCAACTATCAAGCTAACAAGTTATATGCTTTATAAAGATGACATTGTTATGAGCTGTTTAGACCTCAGCTATTCAATGCACCACAAGCTGACATTGGTACTAATGTTTTCATGCCTATACATCCTTCCTGTACAATGTGCATCAAGTTTGTCACCTCACATTTAGAAACTGCATCTATTATAACATCATAACTTTCCATCCCAATTAAAAGATTTGAGCATTGAATGAAGTAAGTGACATGTTTTAAGATACCACCTGGCAGATGTGACCTCCTTATCATCAAGCTACTGTACATGTAGCGGCAATGATGGCTGGTTTAGGAATTCAATATAAATTGTCAGTAGTTTAAGACGCTGTCAAAGTTTTGAATAGTTTGATAATAAGAAAGGCTTTTATGCTATACTTAGTACTTTCTGTCTAGCCTGTATTTATGTCTCTTAATAGAGGATATTTTGGCCAGTGGACTAGTTAAAATATTGCATTGCACCTTGGTAACACAACATAAGTTAGTAATCTTTAATGATTGTGATTTGTATTTAATCCCAGCAATATGTTGCTGGAAAATTAAAATTAAAGTATCAAGTAGATACAAGGTATTTTGAAAGGACAGGAAACTTTTGCGTTACTTCAAAGCTCTAAATAAGGACTGGATACTATTGTGTTACTACAAAGCTCTAAATAAGGACTGGAGACTATTGTGTTACTACAAAGCTCTAAATAAGGACTGGAGACTGTTGTGTTACTACAAAGCTCTAAATAAGGTCTGGATACTATTGTGTTACTACAAAGCTCTAAATAAGGACTGGATACTATTGTGTTACTACAAAGCTCTAAATAAGGACTGGAGACTGTTGTGTTACTACAAAGCTCAAAATAAGGACATGTGACTTGTGTGCTTCTACATAGCTCCAGATAAGGACAAGAGACTTGTTTGTTACTACAAAGTTCCAAATAAGGACAGGTGACTTGTGTGTTACTACAAAGTTCCAAATAAGGACAGGTGACTTTTGTGTTATTACATAGCTCCAGTTAAGGACGAGACTTGTTTGTTACTACAAAGTTCCAGATAAGGACAGGGGAGTTGTGTGTTACTACAAAGTTCCAAATAAGAACAGGTGACTTGTGTGTTACTACATAGCTCCAGATAAGGACAGGTGACTTGTGTGTTACTACAAAGCTCCAGATAAGGACAGGAGAGTTGTGTGTTACTACAAAGCTCCAAATAAGGACAGGTGACTTGTGTATTACTACAAAGCTCCAGATAAGGACAGGAGAGTTGTGTGTTACTACATAGCTCCATATAAAATATATAAGCACAGGAGAGTTGTGTGTTACTACAACGCTCCAGATAAGGACAGGTGATTTGTGTATTACTACAAAGTTCCAAATAAGGACAGGTGACTTGTGTGTTACTACATAGCTCCAGATAAGGACGAGAGACTTGTTTGTTACTACAAAGCTCCAGATAAGGACGAGAGATTTGTTTGTTACTACAAAACTCCAAATTTGGAAAATAACTTATACATTATATGATATGATTTATCATTAGTTCCTGAAACTTCTTTTCACAGAAGAAGTTCATTCGCTTGTTATTATTATTTGTGAAACTGGGTCAAATTTGTTTTGTAATTTTGATGATTTAACTTTTTTTACTAATATTTTGGAAATATTATGTGCTGATGTAGGATTTTAATTTATTTGGGGTGCAACAGGCATGGATCCACAGTGTAACCAAAGGAGAGGTCAAAGGGGTTGCAGCCCCTTGTCATAGTGCAGGGATGAAGCCCCTATGGGGGATATGGGCTGAGTAATTACAAACAAAAATAGACATGTGAAATTATATTACATTTCCTTTGTGTTATATGAAAATGTTTATTCCAGCTTATGAAGTTCAAAACACAATTCGAAAACATCAATTTTCCATCAAATTTGGTCACTGGGATCCACCTATGCCCCTGCAATAACGTATATACAATGTATGATGATTGTCATCTGGAGCTATGAATGTTTTGTAAGTGTATCTCTTGCTTTGTACATGTGATGACCAGCCAGTGACCTTGGTAACGTAAAGCTTCTCATTTCATCTTGCACTGGTTTTACCTTTTCTGTGAATTTGAAGTATTATATCAGTCATGCCAAGAAAAGCCACATTCTATACATGTAGCTCACACATTGGCAGCTAATTGTTTCTTTATGATGTGCACCCTGAGGTGGCTTCCATTGTTGTGTGTCTTAGTCTATATACATTAATTACTTCAATGAATATTGCAGTGTAATTAAAAACACTTTTTGCTTTGTTTAGTTTTCCTAATATTTGTACATGTACATTAAGGTATTTCTTAAGCAATTTCAGATAAAAAATCATAATCTTATAAAATCCAGACTTTTTACTAAATATAAATTAAATATGAACCTGCTATATTCAAACTTTGTCATATTCAACATCATCTTTAGTCCTCCTTCGGTAAAAATTAAGGATTTTTTTTGTATTTTGCATTGACAAATCTATGAAGTACTTATTTACAGACTGCTAAGTGTATAGTTATACAGAGAAAATGCATTTCTTCCTTTTGGTATTGTGCATATAAATAATATGTATACATGTAATTGTATTATGTACTGTATGTACATGTACAGGTCCTTGTACCTTTGGAGCTTGATCAATAATAAGTACGTTTGAAGCTTGATCAGTGCTAGTGGTACATGTATATATCCACCAGTAGGACATATATATATATATATATACTTTGTTGAACAGGAACAAACTTTACATATTGCATACCATATAACCTCTATAAAATTGAATTGGCCTTTTTTGGCTTCATTTCTTTTGAAAAATAAATCTAATTACAGTTATTAGGAGAGAAAAAAAAGTATGCAATTAAGTTTTATTTTTGTACAATTATAGAAATACATTGAAAATTAATTCCTCTTTTTGCTTATAAACACAACTATCGTGCACCAAAATAAAAGAAGATTTCTGCATGCTTGAAATCGGCTGTTTTGACTGACCCTCAATGGTGGCACATGTTGCTGTGGTAGTAAGAGTGGTGTTTTAACTTTGTCAATGTCACAGTGTTGGTTGCACATCCTCAAATGCACAAATATGCTTTCACAACATTCTTATTATTCAAATATGGATGTGGGCTGAATCATAAATATTATCTGTAACTCTCTGACCTGAATATTTATGAAGGTTTAAAAAGAAACAATTATGAAATCATTTTTGAAATTTTGATAAACTGTCAATATATCTTGAAATTCCTTGTAAATCTATTCTAGCCTACTGCCTTGAGTCAATGTACTGATGGCAATTGCGAGGTTGAACAGTTTACAGCAAGTCAAAAAGAAAGTATGAATAGATTTACAACAACCTTGTGTTGGACATTATAGGTAAATGATAATTAAGGATCCCTGTACCACTGCCAAAAACTCTCATTATAGGTATACAGTGAAGACGTTTTTTCTGACTTGACTCTATATAGCTGTGATTATAAATCATTTCTAAAAAGCAAAATCATGAAAAAAATGATAAAGATGAAATAAACAAACTATAGTCAACAATTATAAGTACTAGTGTTCTGAGCCTAGAATAATCAACAGGGCTAGACGGGAATTTAAATCCTTGTCTTCAGTTTGTTATACTAGGGCTCTAATACTGACTGAGCTACTTGGTCGACGAACGTATCATGCCAAACTGTGGTGCTACAGTAACTTGTATATCCAAAAACTTAAGGGGAGGTTACTCTATATACGAAAAAACACCAGAGTGGGACAGGTATCCTTAAAGTTATATTGTACTTATTTCTATGATATTGTTGCTTTTAAAATGTAACAATCTGGAACTAAAACAACAATGTTAATGTTTAATTTGACTGTAACAGAAAAAATGTAAGTGTTAACATTTAACTTTTGCAAAATAAAAAAGTGAGTTGCAACATTTCAAACTATAATGTTAGCAAATAAAAGACTATATATAGTACTGTTGGTACTCTAGTACAGCTCAGATGCATGGCTGCTGTCACTCTCACAACTCATGATCAGAGAGCTACCTACTCTTACCGATACCAGACCATGACCATGTTTACATGACTTTTGAAATGACATATAATGTTTATAAAAGTTATGAAACATTAATTTAAAAAAATACACCATTAACTGTGTAAATAGCAAATTAATTTTGAGCTGTCTTCACAAACATGTTTGTATTTGGGACGCAATATTGGAGAATACATTGTTCCTGTATTTGTAAATGTGTGTATTTGTTACACCTGTATTGATTGTCATTGTAAAAATGGTCTTAAGTGTATTTCTTTTCGTGAAGTATCATTTGTCATTTTGTCGACAATGATTTGAGATGAGACATCGTTAGACTCCTTTGTTATTCTGCTCTTGTCTCTGGAGAAGAGTTTTTTCTTTACAGTGATCATGGAAACGGAATAATGTCTACAGTTTATATGTCCTGTCGTGGCTTTTCAAATTCAACATTAATGATTTAGCTACAACTAACATATCCACTGCTTTGTAAAGTCGAAGAATTGTAGTAAGAAACTGATTGAGAATAACTAGTATTTATATGTATGATTATTTTGAGTTAGTTCTAGACCCCAATGAACCGTTAGAGACTAAACTATCCTATTGTGAGTATCTGCTATCTTCTGAAAATGGTTCATTCAATTTACTGTTTTAGAGTTTGATTTTAGTTTTGTTACTTTCTTACTTTTTAAATATCATGATCCAATTGACCATAGTTTGATATCAATTTAATTGAATGTTGACTCTTAGCTAATATGAATTACTCTTGAATAAGTTTGTATGGATTTTTATGAGCCATCTCTAGGTGACATATCTTGGTACAATATATGTGACACATATACATAGTTAACTGCATGTCGTCCTGCTGCTAAATAGGCCACACAGGCTGCAAAACATGTACAGTAGACTAGGATAGTAGGTCTAATGTTTTCAGTTCATTTTAAATCATATACCTACATGTATATACTGCAGATTAATTTCATCCTGTGATACATTTTAATTTAGAAATAAACACTATGGTAAAAGGTATGTGCAGGGCAATACAACTGGTCAAATGTGTCACTGTTTCAATATAAGCATGCATCTTTTAATGGATAAATGATCTAAAAATGAAAATTTCAAAAAAAAAAAGAATTTGGGAAAAGCTTATAATTTTGAATAGCTTTATTTATTATTAAACATTACGAATTTACGATTGTTTGTAAATCCTAGCTGAAATTTCGGCATGCCTTTGTATGATGTGACTATTTTACACTACTAGACCTCAATAAATAGGCTCATATTGACCAGTATTTGTGTGTTCTCGTATTCAAGGAGACCAATTAATGCAGTGCCAGGTTGGCATTCCTGTATCAGTACATTGTGTTGGAACCCAACTTATAAAATGTTTCTGGTACCGCTCTAGTACATACAGTACATTATCATACTATTTAAGTCCAGTGGCTATATATGCATACACTCTAAAGAACCTAAAGCAGGAGATCTAGATACTAATTGTGTACATCCAACATGGCTGTACCCCAAATTTGTTTGATGTTAAAATTTCTAAATTGAAACTATCATATTCAAGATTTTCCTGTTTTGGCAGCTGATAACAAAGTCCTATTTTAGTCATTGTAATGTAATTAGTACTGTAGACTAGACTGGAGTTTGAAGATATTGATAATAATATATTTATATTTTTGTATTGGTTTTGAAATAAGAATAACCAGTACATGTATATATATTCAAAAATGATGATAACTACAAAAAGGGTGTGCTTTTAAATTTTATATTGACATCTGTAAGTTTGCTAAATATCAATGTTTATGTGAAAATTAACCTCTACAAACTTGACTCTACTTTGTTGATCACATACAATATGTTACATGTAATTAACTGCCAAAACAGCAAAATAGTAAATGTTGCACTGTTTTGCGATCCAGCAAGTCTTGGGTATGGTCACATTGGGTCAATCCCAAACATTTGTCTTCCAACATATCTTCCATATGTGGGTAAATGAACAATGTGATCTGACCTCTGAACATCCTGGTATATTTATTAATGTTGTATGTTACATTTTGTTCCTGTTTCACTAAACATCCTGTTGTTTGTATGTATACATATATAACATAACTAAGTGTGACATTTATAAGTTGATTTCCTCTGGACTATCACACCATGATAATGAGCAGTGGTATTATTTGTTAAGCAGGTTTTGGCCAGATATTGAACTGTATTTTATAATGTACTGAATATTATATTTAGCACTCCAATTTTGAAGCTTTACTTCTTTAAAAAAGCTGAGCTTATCAAATGGTCATTTATGCAAATAAAAAGTATGTGTCATGACCAACAATAATACCGGGTTTATATACAAATTTGATAAATAATTACCACAATCTAGAATATGTAATATAGAAGGTAAGCTCCAATTAATTTTATCTGCTGATCCCAAATTTTAAGTGCAATCATAATAACCAGCCATATGCCATTAATTTGGCTGTAAATGTAACAATTTCCAGCCTTACTATTTTCCGGTGTCTATACGAACAATATCCACCAACACTTCAATCAGGCTCATGCCACACAGAGCACGAAACCCCCACATGCCACACAGAGCACAAAACCCCCACATGCCACACAGAGCACGAAAACCCCACATGCCACACAGAGCACGAAACCCCCACATGCCACACAGAGCACGAAAACCCCCACATGCCACACAGAGCACGAAAAAACCACACATGATGGGGTCTGATCATGATCCCATGATGTAGAAAACATGGTGTAGAAACAAATTACATCATCAGTTCTCAAATCATAGACCCTGTTGTACTGGCGTGATCGTATCTTTTAACCCAGGACAATAGTTTAACTGACATAAGAGTTGCTAAAACATTTTTCTACCTCGGTTAACCACATGCATCAATAAGAAATTATAAACCACATTTTCACTACTGATATAAAATGTCTATTTGTTTCTGTAATGAATTATAAATAATACAGTGTTTTGGTTAGTAAATATTGTTTTAAAATGTAGTTCAAACTTTCTGGATGAAAAGACTTGTTAAAACGTTATAACATAAACTGTATAGTTTCTTGCCTTTTTCCCCAGGTAATCCTCATGTAAACTAGTACAGTATTTGTGTTATCAAGTTTCACATGGGAAATGCTTGATAGAAAAATCGTGACTTCAAATAAAGCACCACCAAATGTTAATTTGCTTAAAGATTTTAAAATTCACATGAAATAGAAGATTAATTTATTAATGTTTCAGGTCCAAAGAGCAGACTTCAGAACCGTTTAGGTTTTCATCTGTCTCATAAGTTCAACGAAGAGAAGCGTCTTATGTCCTACCACCAGAACCTGCAGGACATTGTAGAGGACCAGCTGTCTCTGGCCTCCATACACTACCTCCGCAGTCATTACCAGGAGGCCATTGACATCTACAAGAGGATCCTTCTAGACAACAGGTCAGGCACTCAGCACTGGGCATACATGTATAACACAGGGCATACAGCACAGGGCATACATGTACAACACAGGGCATAAAGAGCATACAGAACATCACAGAATATGATATGTAGGGTGCACACAACACATGATATATGTAAGAGCATGCATCCCTTGGCATGTAGAGATGCATCACAGAACATAGGGCATACAGTGCATGGCATAGAACATCAAAGTTCAAAGGGCTTAAAGCACAAATATTAGACATACAACTTTCATTTATCATATTGCTATGAAATAGAAAAAAATACTAAGGAATTCAAAAATCTAAAACGAATATTCTCATTTGAAGTCTTGTATTTGTGTGTTTATTACAGAGACTACCTGGCCCTGAATGTGTATGTGGCCCTGTGTTACTACAAACTGGACTACTATGATGTCTCACAGGTAAGAATCGTCTTTGATAAGATAATTTGGTTTTGCTCCCTACATAATTGAGATCAATATTCAAACTTATTTTCCAATGAAATTCAATGAGAGTATTTTTGGTTATATATATACATGTATTCAAAAGTCAAAGTCCTCAAACCCAGCTTGAATGCACAATGATTTTTGCAATGTATTGTATGTAGATGTTTTCTTTGTCTTGGTATTGTTTGTGACGTCACTATGCTTGTTTATTTATGACGTCACTAAAATTGTTGACTATACAAATATTGATGACGTCATGTAACCAACGGTGATAAATAAACATCAATCCGCCTGAAGAAGCCCTAGAAGGCAGAAAGGCCTAGCAGACGATCTGAACAATTTATGTTTTTATTCTATATACATGTGTATATTTTGGTATTAAAGGAAAACATCAAAAATTAAAAATAAAGAAATGCCAACTTTTGGGTGGGCATTTACTAGTAAAAAGATGCTTTATTTGCAAAAGATGATTTTCATTAGAAATACCTTCACAGACAGTGTCATAATTATACATTATCATATGACCATTCCCATATATATCCTACCCATATCAACCTGAGCTGCCCATATACATAGAAGGATATGAAAATGGTCAGAGATATAACATTTTTGTCATATACATGTACTACATATTGTGCACATACAGTAAGCATATACATGTATTTCATTTTTAATACTAACTTCCTATACTTAAATTATGTGAAACAAAATACAAAATCAGCATAAGATTTAAGCTGTCACCTGTTGAACTAGAAGTAAAATGGATAGAGTAGTGCATGCAGGGCAGAGGGGATAATACTCTGATGCTGGTATTATGTCTCAAAATGCTAATGATTGTCCGGATATGTGCTTATATTGATATGTGAACTAATGCTGTGCTATGATTGGTTTACAGGAGGTGCTAGCCGTGTACCTACAACAGTACCCTGACAGTGCCATAGCCCTAAATCTAAAGGCCTGTAATCACTTCAGGCTCTACAATGGAAAGGCCGCAGAGGTACGTATCTGTGTTACTTAGAACTTGAAGTGATAAATATCATAACTTCCACTAGCCACTTTTTGTTTGTCAAAGACAATATACATGTATGTGATTTTCGTTGTACAGAACATCCATGGCACCTCTTATGTCATGTTTCAGCAGACTAAAATCACATAAAACCTAAAAAAACATCTTTTTACATAGAATCCAATTCAGAAAAAGAACTGATATATGAAAAAAATGAATATTATTTGTATTTATTACCATGGCAACATATTCCTTTTTCTATATTTTATCTGTTAAACCTGTCCATATTTTGCCATGGGACTACTTCTAAATTCTGTATACAAAATGTACTGGTTTTTGGTCTAACGTTCACTCACTCTGATCCCTGTTTTGTCCCTCTAGATCAAGCCACTGTAGCTTTGCTGTAGGTCATGTGACCATTTGTCACATAGTTACGATCCATTGTTTATCTGTTGTAATTTGGGAATATTTGAATAAAATAATTGATTTTCATTTCATATTTCAAGGCCGAGTTAAAGAGTCTACAAGAAATGTCAACGCCATCATTTGTGTTCGCGAGAGATCTCATCAAACATAACATGGTGAGTGATTGTGACTTGAGTGTCAAGGTAACACAAGAATAGCTAATCTTTGATTCTCATTACCATCAGACTGTGCCACAGCACAAAAACATGGCTGTAACGATAGAATCATTTTCTATTTTTGACTTTAAAAATGAGTTTCTGATTAATGATTTCTCATACTTAAATAGCCATAAGCTACTGAGCAGATTTAGTTCATAGAAAAAAGTGCCCTTCTCTGTTACATAGAGGTTAAGGTCATCCTGTTTAAAAAAAGAAGATTTCTAATGGGCGATCTTTTTCAAACTGATAAAGGATGCATTATAATCATATTTCACATAGATGTATTTAGTAAAAAGCACAATCCAAACAATCAGAGATTTAGAATGAAACCAGTCAAGTGCCTAGAATCAATATTTCTGATTTGAGATAACTTCAATGAGATTGTACTGGGGAGCATTTTTACCAGGAGACAAATTGTCGCCGTCCACATTGTTCGGTAGAGAGGGGTTTGTACAGAGCATGGCTACTTAATATTGATGTATGGTATATGTGAGTCCCAGAGAGATGAAATCATTCTACTTAGTGTTTGCTGATGATACAAACTTGATGTATAGCCCTGACTGCAGACACTAGTGTATACATGTACAGAGACATTGGTTTTGTTGTAATCTAGTTTATTTACTATACCGGTAAGTAATTCTAGTAGCTAGTTATTTGGTATAGGAGATGCACTTTTTTTATTGTGATTAGATATTTTTGAAATTATTTTTGTTGTTGATGTACTACTGGGTTGACTTTATTCTAATCAATTACACAAATATATCTTATCAGTTGTACTGGTATTAAGTTTTGGGGAAATATTTGGGATATAATGTTTCAATTGATATTTTATTTCGTTCCACTCTTAGCTAGCAGAAAGACCAAAGTATAGGAAAGTTATTATGTTCTGAAACAATTTTTTTCTGCCAAGAGCAGACCTATCCCTAGTCAGAAGTTTTGAGTGTTGGAACTGTTCTTTTTAATTGAAACATTACCTAAACATGTAAATTCTTTCTGAAGGTTGTATTCCGTGGAGGAGAAGGGTCCTTACAAGTACTGCCCCCTCTGATAGATGTCATTCCAGAGGCTCGACTCAACCTGGTTATCTATCATCTGAAACAAGGTAATCAATCGTCTTTGTCTGTCAGCTCAGAAAAGGTAACCACTAGTGTCTGAACCTTTAAATAAGGTAACCACTAGTGTTTGAACCCCCAAGAAGGTAACCACTAGTGTCTGAACCTTCATATAAGGTAACCATTAGTGTCTGAATGCTCCAATAAGGTAACCATTAATGTATGAACCCTTAAATAAGGTAACCACTAGTGTTAAACCCTCAAATAAGGTAACCACTAGTGTTGAGCCATCAAGTAAGGTAACCACTAGTGTTGAACTCTCAAATAAGGTAACTACTAATGTTTAACTCTAACATAAGGTAACCAACCACTAGTGTTGAACCATCAAGTAAGGTAACCACTAGTGTTGAACCCTAAAATAAGGTAACCACTAGCGTTGAACCCTAAAATAAGGTAACCACTAGTGTTGAACCCTCAAATAAGGTAACCACTAGTGTTGAATTCTCAAATAAGGTAACCACTAGTGTTGAACTCTCAAATAAGGTAACCACTAGTGTTTAACTCCCAAATAAGGTAACTACTAATGTATGAACCATCAAGTAAGGTAACCACTAGTGTTGAACTCCCAAATAAAGTAACTACTAACGTATAAACCATTAAGTAAGGTAACCACTAGTGTTCAACCATCAAGTAAGGTAACCACTAGTGTTGAACTCTCAAATAAGGTAACTACTAATGTTAAACACTAAAATAAGGTAACCACTAGTGTTAAACCCTCAAATGAGGTCATTGTTAGTGTGAACCCTAAAATAAGGTAACCACTAGTGTTGAACTCTCAAATAAGGTAACTACTAATGTATGAACCCTTAAATAAGGTAACCACTAGTGTTTAACTCCCAAATAAGGTAACCACTAGATTTGAACCCTCAAAGAAGGTAACCACTAGTGTTGAACTCTCAAAGAAGGTAACCACTAGATTTGAACCCTCAAAGAAGGTAACCACTAGTGTTGAACTCTCAAAGAAGGTAACTACTAGTGTTGAACCCTCAAATAAGGTCATTGTTAGTGTGAACCCTAAAATAAGGTAACCACTAGTGATGAACTCTCAAATAAGGTAACTACTAATATATGAACCCTCAAAAAAGGTAACCACTAGTGTTAAACCATCAAGTAAGGCAACCACTAGTGTTGAGCCAGCAAGTAAGGGAACCACTAGTGTTGAGCCAGCAAGTAAGGGAACCACTAGTGTTTAACTCCCAAATAAGGTTAACTACTAATGTATGACCCCTCAAAAAAGGTAACCACTAGTTTTGATCTCTCAAAGAAGGTTATCACTAATGTGTGAACCCTCAAATAAGGGAAATGTTAGTGTGAACCCTCAAATAAGGGAAATGTTAGTGTGAAGCCTCAAATCAGGTAGAAACAATTGTTGAACCCTCAAATAAGGGAAATGTTAGTGTGAAGCCTCAAATCAGGTAGAAACAATTGTTGAACCCTCAAATAAGGGAAATGTTAGTGTGAACCTTCAAATCAGGTAGAAACTATACCCCTCAAAAAAGGTAACCACTAGTGTTGCCTCTCAAAGAAGGTAACCTCTAGTGTTGAACCCTAAAATAAGGTAACTACTAATGTTGAACACTAAAATAAGGTAACTACTATAAGTTAACCACTAGTGTTGAGCCATCAAATAAGGTAACCAATAGTGTTGAACTCTCAAATAAGGTAACTCCTAGTGTTGAACCATCAAGTAAGGTAACCATTAGTGTGAACCGTCAAATAAAGTAACCACTAGTGTTGAATCATCAAGTAAGGTAACCACTAGATTTAAACACTCAAAGAAGGTAACTACAAGTGTTTAACCCTCAAAAAAGGTAACCACTAGTTTTGATCTCTCAAAGAAGGTTATCACTAATGTGTGAACCCTGAAATCAGGTAGCAACTAGTGTTAACCATCAAATAAGGTAACCCCTAGTTTTGATCTCTCAAAGAAGGTAACTACAAGTGTTTAACCCTCAAAAAAGGTAACCACTAGTTTTGATCTCTCAAAGAAGGTTATCACTAATGTGTGAACCCTGAAATCAGGTAGCAACTAGTGTGAACCATCAAAGAAGGTAACCCCTAGTGTTGAACCATTAAGTAAGGGAACCACTAGTGTTGAGCCAGCAAGTAAGGGAACCACTAGTGTTGAGCCATCAAGTAACTACTAGTGTTGAACCCTTAAACAAGGTAACCACTTGTGTTTAACTCTCAAATAAGGTAACCCCTAGTGTTGAACCATCAAGTAAGGCAACCACTAGTGTTGAACCATTAAGTAAGGTAACCACTTGTGTTGAACTCTCAAATAAGGTAACCAATAGTGTTGAACTCTCAAAGAAGGTTATCACTAATGTGTGAACCCTGAAATCAGGTAGCAACTAGTGCTGACCCCTCAAATAAGGTAAATGTTAGTGTGAACCCTAAAATAAGGTAATTGTTAGTGTGAACCGTCAAATAAAGTAACCACTAGTGTTTAACTCTCAAATTAGGTAACCACTAGTGTTGAACCCTCAAAGAAGGTAACCACTAATGTATGAACCCTCAAATAAGGTAAATGTTAGTGTGAACCCTCAAATCAGGTAGAAACTATTGTTGAACCCTCAAATAAGGTAACCACTAGATTTGAACCCTCAAAGAAGGTAACCACTAATGTATGAACCCTCAAATAAGGTAATTGTTAGTGTGAACCCTCAAATCAGGTAGAAACTATTGTTGAACCCTCAAATAAGGTAACCACTAGTGTTGAACCATCAAGTAAGGTAACCACTAGTGTTGAACCCTCAAAGAAGGTAACCACTAGTTTGAGCCATCAAATAAGGTAACCACTAGTGTTGAACTCTCAAATAAGGTAACCACTAATCTATGAACCCTCAAATAAGGTAACCACTAATCTTTGAACCCTCAAATAAGGTAATTGTTAGTGTGAACCCTCAAATAAGGTAATTGTTAGTGTGAACTCTCAAATAAGGTAACCACTAATGTATGAACCCTCAAATAAGGTAATTGCTAGTGTGAACCGTCAAATAAAGTAACCACCAGTGTTGAACCCTTAAAAAAGGTAACCACTTGTGTTTAACTCTCAAATTAGGTAACCACTAGTGTTGAGCCATCAAATAAGGTAACCACTAGTGTTGAGCCATCAAATAAGGTAACCACTAGTGTTGAACTCTCAAAGAAGGTAACCACTAGTGTTGAACCCTTAAATAAGGTAAAAACTAGTGTTGAACCCTCAAATAAAGTAACCACTAGATTTGAACCCTCAAATAAGGTAACATCTAGTGTTGAACCCTCAAATAAGGTAACCACTAGATTTGAACCCTTAAATAAGGTAACCACTAGTGTTGAATTCTCAAATAAGGTAACATCTAGTGTTGAACCCTCAAATAAGGTAACAACTAGTGTTGAACCCTAAAATAAAGTAACCACCAGTGTTGAACCATCAAATAAGGTAACCACTAGTGCCTGAATGCTCAAAGAAGGTAACCACCAGTGTCTGAACCTTTACTTATAGTGTAAATATATAGGTTTTCTAAAAAGACTTGACCTGCATGTAATGTGTTATTTCATGTGAAATATTTCAAATGCAGAGCAAGTAAGCAGATTAGGATTAGCAACATTGGGTTCAATTCAAGATTAAGGTGTCTATTTCAATCTACATAGATGTTTTCCCTTAATGGTAGTCTGCATAGACTGTCTTGTATGTAGATTTTTGAAGAGTGAAGAATTTAGTCTAGATTTGATGGCGACACTGTGGATGAAATGTGAATATTCAAATTTCTGAATTGATGGGAAACTTCAAGAAAATCTGGAAGACATTTATCCACAAAAAGTTAGTCTAGCTCTGTGTATACATGTATAACAGTCTTGCTTTTCACATAAAAGAAAAACAAAAACAATTAAAAAAATTGTCGTCATTGATCCAGTGCTGCTATATTAAAGTCTTTAATTATAAAGCCTGCTAAGATGATCAAGATCATCTTGCGTAGATTCTCTATGTAAACTCTGTGATTCTGACTTCAACCTTTGTCTTTAGACTTTAAGTTTAACCAGATAGCACTTTGATTCCAGATGATATTGCTGAGGCTTACAATCTGATTAAGGAGCTTGAACCGACAACCCCACAGGAGTACATACTTAAGGGTGTGGTCAATGCTGCCCTGGGGCAGGAGCAGGGATCGGTCAGTATCATCATCATTAATGATCACTTCTGTGTTCACATGTTAATTGCTTGATTGGAATCTTGTCGTGAACATTTTTTCTTGTTTGATTTTTTTGTGGGTTAATTGGAAGATATGACCTTGTGATATTACTATAAGCATTAAATCCCAGTAAATATCAGTGATATATGCTATTTCAATGTTTCTTCTACAGCCATTAGCATATGATGAGGGAATTTCAAACCCAATGGTAAAAGTTTGATGTTTGTTACAGTTAGTTCATTACATTGTTAAATTTGTGTTCCTTCCAGATTTGATTTTATACAAATTCCAAAATTTCATGTGAAGATGCTTCAGATAAATGTTATCTCTGAAACATTAATTACTACAACCAAAAATCCTCAAAGTAAATTTTATTTTTGCCAATCCAGACACCATCAGTCAATTGTTAGTTACGATGGTTTGTGTTAATCAGTATTACCATCTCCAATTCCGTAGCAACTGTCGTTGATCTGAAATCACTTACATCAGCTCATATTCACACAAAGTTTTACATGTATGAAATTTACTATATTGGCACTGCAAGGTATATGTCTTTTAACCTACTTTCAGCTTAAATTGTTCCATTAAGAGAAAAAAAAACTCAATTTAGATTTTTCAGAGTGCTGTTTCAAAGTGCATTATTACAACTCACCAGTAGAATGAAAAAAAACACTATTGGTAGACTTTGGAGAAATAAAATTTGTAGAAGTGTACATCTTCATTTTATTTTGCATTCAGCTTTCAAGTCCATGCCATTACTTAAGAGCCATAACCATTCATGTCACTTATTGTATAATATTGATTTTTGATGGATCAAATCAAATAAGTTACAAATAATATAAGTCACGTAATTGGTGGAAGGATTGCTGTCAAAGTATTAACACAATTTTTTATTTTGAACCAGAAGGAGCACCTGAAGATTGCCCAGCAGTATTTCCAGCTAGTTGGGGGATCAGCCAGTGAATGTGGTACGTATCTAGTAGTTCCAGCTAGTGGGGGGATCAGCCAGTGAATGTGGTACGTATCTAGTAGTTCCAGCTAGTGGGGGGATCAGCCAGTGAATGTGGTACGTATCTAGTAGTTCCAGTTAGTGGGGGGATCAGCCAGTGAATGTGGTATGTATCTAGTAGTTCCAGTTAGTGGGGGGATCAGCCAGTGAATGTGGTATGTATCTAGTAGTTCCAGTTAGTGGGGGGATCAGCCAGTGAATGTGGTATGTATCTAGTAGTTCCAGTTAGTGGGGGGATCAGCCAGTGAATGTGGTATGTATCTAGTAGTTCCAGTTAGTGGGGGGATCAGCCAGTGAATGTGGTATGTATCTAGTAGTTCCAGTTAGTGGGGGGATCAGCCAGTGAATGTGGTATGTATCTAGTAGTTCCAGTTAGTGGGGGGATCAGCCAGTGAATGTGGTATGTATCTAGTAGTTCCAGTTAGTGGGGGGATCAGCCAGTGAATGTGGTATGTATCTAGTAGTTCCAGTTAGTGGGGGGATCAGCCAGTGAATGTGGTATGTATCTAGTAGTTCCAGTTAGTGGGGGGATCAGCCAGTGAATGTGGTATGTATCTAGTAGTTCCAGTTAGTGGGGGGATCAGCCAGTGAATGTGGTATGTATCTAGTAGTTCCAGTTAGTGGGGGGATCAGCCAGTGAATGTGGTATGTATCTAGTAGTTCCAGTTAGTGGGGGGATCAGCCAGTGAATGTGGTACGTATCTAGTAGTTCCAGTTAGTGGGGGGATCAGCCAGTGAATGTGGTACGTATCTAGTAGTTCCAGTTAGTGGGGGGATCAGCCAGTGAATGTGGTACGTATCTAGTAGTTCCAGTTAGTGGGGGGATCAGCCAGTGAATGTGGTACGTATCTAGTAGTTCCAGTTAGTGGGGGGATCAGCCAGTGAATGTGGTACGTATCTAGTAGTTCCAGTTAGTGGGGGGATCAGCCAGTGAATGTGGTATGTATCTAGTAGTTCCAGTTAGTGGGGGGATCAGCCAGTGAATGTGGTATGTATCTAGTAGTTCCAGTTAGTGGGGGGATCAGCCAGTGAATGTGGTATGTATCTAGTAGTTCCAGTTAGTGGGGGGATCAGCCAGTGAATGTGGTATGTATCTAGTAGTTCCAGTTAGTGGGGGGATCAGCCAGTGAATGTGGTATGTATCTAGTAGTTCCAGTTAGTGGGGGGATCAGCCAGTGAATGTGGTATGTATCTAGTAGTTCCAGTTAGTGGGGGGATCAGCCAGTGAATGTGGTATGTATCTAGTAGTTCCAGTTAGTGGGGGGATCAGCCAGTGAATGTGGTATGTATCTAGTAGTTCCAGTTAGTGGGGGGATCAGCCAGTGAATGTGGTATGTATCTAGTAGTTCCAGTTAGTGGGGGGATCAGCCAGTGAATGTGGTATGTATCTAGTAGTTCCAGTTAGTGGGGGGATCAGCCAGTGAATGTGGTATGTATCTAGTAGTTCCAGTTAGTGGGGGGATCAGCCAGTGAATGTGGTATGTATCTAGTAGTTCCAGTTAGTGGGGGGATCAGCCAGTGAATGTGGTATGTATCTAGTAGTTCCAGTTAGTGGGGGGATCAGCCAGTGAATGTGGTATGTATCTAGTAGTTCCAGTTAGTGGGGGGATCAGCCAGTGAATGTGGTATGTATCTAGTAGTTCCAGTTAGTGGGGGGATCAGCCAGTGAATGTGGTATGTATCTAGTAGTTCCAGTTAGTGGGGGGATCAGCCAGTGAATGTGGTATGTATCTAGTAGTTCCAGTTAGTGGGGGGATCAGCCAGTGAATGTGGTATGTATCTAGTAGTTCCAGTTAGTGGGGGGATCAGCCAGTGAATGTGGTATGTATCTAGTAGTTCCAGTTAGTGGGGGGATCAGCCAGTGAATGTGGTATGTATCTAGTAGTTCCAGTTAGTGGGGGGATCAGCCAGTGAATGTGGTATGTATCTAGTAGTTCCAGTTAGTGGGGGGATCAGCCAGTGAATGTGGTATGTATCTAGTAGTTCCAGTTAGTGGGGGGATCAGCCAGTGAATGTGGTATGTATCTAGTAGTTCCAGTTAGTGGGGGGATCAGCCAGTGAATGTGGTATGTATCTAGTAGTTCCAGTTAGTGGGGGGATCAGCCAGTGAATGTGGTATGTATCTAGTAGTTCCAGTTAGTGGGGGGATCAGCCAGTGAATGTGGTATGTATCTAGTAGTTCCTGTTAGTGGGGGATCACCCAGTGAATGTGGTATGTATCTAGTAGTTCCTGTTAGTGGGGGGATCACCCAGTGAATGTGGTACGTATCTAGTAGTTCCAGGTAGTGGGGGGATCAGCCAGTGAATGTGGTATGTATCTAGTAGTAGAGTACTGTAACTTCAGTGATAATTGTCATAGTAAGCAAAACAATTTTAAAGGACCCAAATTCTTTTGCATATTTCTGAAATACTGAAATATATTAGATGTAAACAAATGTTATCATTTACTTAGGACCCCAGCCATATGATCTCCTTTTGATGTATTTATTGTATATAAGAGCCATCTTTGTTGACTACAGATACCATCCCTGGGAGACAGTGTATGGCCTCCTGTTTCTTCATTCTCCGGCAGTTTGAGGACGTCTTAATCTATCTCAATTCGGTCAAGGTCAGTACACAAAAGGATAGAACCATTGGATCTGAAAATTATTTTTGTAAAAAAAGTATAGAAGGATAATGATTCAAAATGTTATTATGTCAATTTATAAAAATATGTAATCTAAATTTTGCAGAGCTATTTCTACAATGACGACCTTTTCAACTTCAACTACGCTCAGGCCAAAGCCGCAGTTGGAAACTACAAAGAGGCAGAGGAGGTGTGTGTCTTATAGGGTTTATTAGCATGGCTGTCAATATAAATTCACAAGATATTTTATAGTTCTATCTTTAATACTTTTTATGTAAACTAAATGTGTCCTTTGGAAATTGAAAATTATCAGTGAATATGAGGTCATTCCTGGTAAATATACCGTCATTTAGCTATGAATGAAACCAAAATCTGCCATTTTTATGGGTCTTGAGGACCCCATCCTTCTGTTGATATTTCACATGGATCCTATATAATAGAAATAATGTTGTTATGACTTTGCTGTGTCAGGTGTTCCTGTTGATACAGACAGAGAAGATCAAAAATGATTATACCTATCTCAGCTGGCTGGCTAGATGTTGTAAGTATTGGCTGCTACTGAGATTTAAATCATCTCATTATCTGTTTTTCAAGGAAAATTAACATCATTATTATCCAAACACTAGGTATAATTAATATGTAGTGTAGTAAGCTTGATGACTTCAAAACCTTTATGTTGGAGGAAATACTTGTTCATTCTTAACCATGACCATTATTTCTTACTAATTTCATTATTTCGTTTAATATTAGAATGTATTAGAGTAAACATTCTAAAGCCAGATCTCCTGATAGTTGTGTACGTATGGTTGGTTACAGATATCATGAACAGGAAGGCACGCCTAGCGTGGGAGTTGTACCTTAAGATGGAGACATCGGGCGAATCCTTCAGTCTGCTTCAGCTCATCGCAAACGACTGCTACAAGGTCAGGAAAAGAGTCATATAATGTTAAACATTCATGTGTTTATGGGAGCAGAATAATTTCAGATTTGAATTATATTTCTATAAAAACAGGAATGCGATTAAGAAGTTGAACAAACCCCTCCCATCTCTTGTTTGAAACATTTGCATTTATTTGCAGGGTCTCGTTAAATCCATTGTTTTCAAAGACAACAACACTTGGTAGGAGTATCCCAGATCTTCTCTGAATTATTCTAGGATCAGACATTAAAATATTAATTTTTCTTTTGCAGATGGGTCAGTTTTACTATGCTGCCAAATCTTTTGACGTACTGGAGCGACTCGACCCTAACCCAGAGTACTGGGAGGGTAAGCGAGGTGCTTGTGTGGGTGTGTTCCAATTGATCATTGCGGGACATGAACCAAGGTCAGTACGCACACACTTGGGACCAGTTATTATTCTCTAGAACTCAGTAGTTCATGATTATAATGTAGTCAGTAGGTATATTCATCTAATATCCAAAAACCATGATTAATGTTTGCTTTTAGTAGATGTGGCATTTATAATATGAAACTTGTCCTTATTTAATCAAGAAAGTGAGTACATAATAACTCATAAGAACGTAAAACTGGTGCAATCCCTCCAAACTTGAACTAGCTTTGCCTTGGATGATTCTAGCTTTAGTTAGGCAGGATGATGTTGTATGAAGTAATTTGAATATTAGTCCCCCATTGATACTACAAGAGGGGACTTAAGGTTTGCATTCCATCTAATAATCAGTCAGTCAGGCTGGTGGTCCACTCTCACTTAGGCTGGCCGGGACATGTCTCGTATACTGTGTCACCAATCATTGCAAAGTTTTGTAGGCAAGTACCTTTTTAGATGTACAAGTGTAACATATTTATATTAGGTCTGGTGCCCCAATATATACAGAATTCTGGCCCTTTATTAACTTTGAAGTCGTTTCCCTGTCAGTTGTTGAGTTTTACAATATTTGTTGACTTGTAATAATGAATTTAAATCACACATTTAGACAGACGCTTTCATTGTTATAGTTATTAGTTCATGGAGAACCAGTTTATAAAGAATTTAAGCTTGCTGGGTAGTTACCTTCCAGAAATTAAAAACAATGTTCCCTTTCCCTTTCATTAATCCCAATATATTTTAAACCAACTATAATTTCCTTTTGCGAACTCTAGATTATTTTCACAATGGATTTTTTGGTTGATAATAACAGTTGTACTATTTGCTATTTTATTTGCGCAGAGAGCAACTTCGGGAAGTGGTTCAACTACTTCGTAACACTAGTAACCCACAGGTGGAATACATCACTCGCACCATGAAAAAATGGGGCAAAGAGAACAAAGTATCTTGGTAGCCAAACACCACGTTGTCTACAACAACATGTAAATCCTTTACTGATTCTCACCAAAACTGCATGTTCATGTAGATAGAATATTAGGGAATAAGTCACTTAGGATTAAATTAGGGTTAGATATCTTTCTCTGGTATTCAAATTCTTACACTTATTTATGTAAAGATAAAGTTGCCCCATGCTTTCTTCATTCTGTGCATGCTGGATCAGCACTTCTCAGCCTACACATTATATTTGCATTATATTGATAGACTGACCCACACATAAGTAACAGTATTGCACATTATCCTTGTATTATGTTGTAAGTAGCAGGATACTTTCAAATACATGTAGACTACAGAGCTATACATAGTCACATGGTATTCTAACCTAGTTATGGTAGACATGTACACAACCAGAGTTTTTTAACCTGGTTATTGTAAAACTGTACACAGCCACGGGGTATCATAACCTGGTAATTGTGAATTGTACACAACTACATCGTATTATTACCTGGCTACTGTGAATTGTACACAGTCACATTGTATAACAACCTGGTTACTGTAGAAATGTACTCAGCCACAGAGCATTATAACCTGGTTACTGTAGAATTGTACACAGCCACAGGGTATTATAACTTGGTTACTGTAGAATTGTACACAGACACAGGGGATTATAACCTGGTTACTGTAGAACTGTACACAGACACAGGGTATTATAACTTGGTTACTGTAGAATTTTACACAGACACAGGGTATTATAACTTGGTTACTGTAGAATTGTAAACAGACACAGGGTATTATAACTTGGTTACTGTAGAATTGTATACAGCCACGGGGTATTATAACCTGGTTACTGTAAAACTGTACACAGACACAGGGAATTATAACTTGGTTACTGTAGAATTGTACACAGACACAGGGTATTATAACCTGGTTACTGTAGAATTGTATACAGACACGGGGTATTATAACCTGGTTACTGTAGAATTGTATACAGCCACGGGGTATTATAACTTGGTTACTGTAGAATTGTACACAGACACAGGGTATTATAACCTGGTTACTGTAGAACTGTACACAGCAACAGTGTATTATAACCTTATTATTTGAGAACTTTAGACAAACACATGGTATTATAAATAATCTGGTTCTTGGTGTTCTAAAAATCAAACAGCTTATCAGTGTTGTAGACACATGTCACAGTATTTTATTGTTATTGTACAACATTATGCATTGAAAAGGAAAGAAAAAAAAAAACAAAGAAAAAACTCAATTCAAGCTTTGATTCACACAGAAATGAATGTTTAATGTATAATATGTGTAGCTTTGAGTTTTTTTAGCTGACCAATCTCTAAATATGTATTAAGACTGAGATGATGAAGAATACTGTGGAGAAAAATCTCTATTTTAATTTTAATTTTGAGGGTATGGCTTTGAGGGTCAGCCAGTCAAATGGTACAGTCACCCCCACATGATACATCAAACATTCTTGTTGAAGTCTCCATAAATATGTTGGTATAGTCAAAGCTTGATTTGTACAGCTTCTTTTGTTCTCTGCAAATTAACTTGCTAGCATGACACTTTTCCCGTTGCCTCTATTTGATTGTCCGTCCAAGTATGAAATGCACCACAATTTGTTTCAAAGACAGTAAAATTTGCATGAGAGGAATTCAGATATGTACTACTGACTTGTTTTCTGATCGTTTTGAAAGAGAGGTAACTGTAAATTATGGAAATAAGATGAACTTAATAGTAGAAATCATTGGTCGTACTCCTGCAGACCAAGCTTTCCCTTTGTCTGAAGGCTTCCATCAATAAGACAAAACCTCTCTAATGATATTGATTATCTCCGGCTAGAAAAGTCCGTTCAGCTTTGTGGTCACATCATATTTTATCTACTCGGTGATCATGTTTAATTAATTTGTGTTTGATTTGTGGAAATCATTATCATGACATCATGGATTCTAACCAAGGGTAATAAGGTAATTAGGAATGCATTTTACGGAGTTAGCATTCCCTCCAGGTCCATAATCACTTTCTAATACAATACCAGTATTTACATTAGCTAAATGTTCTCTGCTAACTTGCTAGCATAACACTTGCTCTTCCTATATACACACAGGAATTTAAATCTCAAATGGAAAGTTCAATTTTATTAAACTAAGTGAAAGGTTATTAAGTAGTATTATACTGGCATGATTTATCATAGAATATAACTGAAAGTGAAAAGATATGAGTCTTAGACACTTATCATTCATTCAATGATACTTTTGACAATTTTGCCCATGAGAAACTTGATGTGACATATAACAGATGAAATTGCACAAAGAGAAGACTGAAGGCTACACTAGCTTGGTTATGGTACAATGTACTATCCTTAATTAGGCCTGTCTGTCAAAACATTAATTTGTCAGTATAATCAATACAGGTACAAACATTGCACAAATCTTATGTTGTGAACATGTTTCTAGGCTTTACTTGTAATTCAAGTCTCGACTTGCAGCATGTTTGACTGTAGCTACCTGTAATGTGTTGTTCACGACTGGTCCACTGATCAATATCGTTAGTCCTTTACACTCTCCACCGCGTTTATATCTGTATAGAGATCTATAGCCGGTTTATTGGTAGTTTTGGAATAGTTCTGATCCAGATATAGTCTTGTATAGGTAGACAGGCTGGTTCAATACGATATGATATTACGATAAAAACTACAAAAATATGTCTGAAGATATAACATATTATTGTTATTAATAATGCTATAATTTGTATATTAACTGAATATGTTCTTGACGGTCATCTTCGCTGATTTATGTACTACACTAAAGGATATGCATATAGATATTCTAAAATCAATATTTGTCTCTGCTTATATTCAGTGTTGTCAAAATATACTGCTTATTCTCATATTGTTATTTCAAAGATGAAAATTCAAAATAACTTTCAACAAGTTTCCAGTTCTATAATGTTCAGTGTTTCGTTGGTTTACATTACTATTACTGCTGCATCTTGTTCTGTATGTCTGCTAAAATATATCAGCTGTAAACAACTAAAAGTGATCAGAAAACGGATGTTACTGTTATAACATTTTGATACAGTAGTTTTAAACTTTGCAAGTCAGTAAGATACACATATCTCTTCCATCTCTGATTGTCCAATAACTTATGCCAAACCCTTAAAGATCTATGAATTTAGATTGTTATGAAATTGATTGTTTAGTGCCTGGTGTATACATGTCTGATAAAGCGTTGTTTGCCTTTTCCAGAGATACTCTGAGAGATGTCATCAACATGTTGAGGAACTCGAGCAACCCTCAGGTGGAGTACATGGTCAGGACCATGAAAAAGTGGGCCAAAGAAAACTTAGTGGCCCTCCCTTAGGATCACACTAGACATCAGGAGCGACCATATCATTATCAAACTTTGCATCTGTGATAATTATAAAATGACACCTACACTCTGTAGGAGAGGACACAGCAAATCTACACCTTTGATATGTTACAAGTTTGAATCTAATTAAATTGCACATTGAGGTTTATTAGACTTTCAATGGCAATTTATACATGTAGATTGTTATGTCTTAAAGCATTAGATACATGTGATAAGATACCCTACAGCTGTGTGTAGGACTGCCTTCACTGTGGTGTAGGAGGAAGCTGATTTAAACAAAAGATCTACGATTGGAATATATTTGTTCCATAAAATAAGCATGTATCCGTTGATGACATTCGTTGTAATCTCGGCTATTTTGTACGACTTTGGCTGATGATGTTGACATCAGCCATCCAAATGGTATTGATAAAATGAGTTTTTAAGATAAAAATTCTATAAAACCCTGTAATTAACATTAACTTGTGAACTATACTGTGTCTAGTAAATATAGGTAGTACATTGTTTGATATTTCAATTGAATGGGTGGAAGCATGTCTCATAGATCTACAACTTTTTCAATTATTTTAGTTGATTTTCTTTTGAATCTCTTGTGCGATGCAATACTTTACACTGTTTAACACATTCTAAATACACTTGATCAGTACGTGTGTACTAAAGAAGAGTTTACGTACAGAGGAACTGCATGAGGACAAGAAATGACAGATGTTCAGATTAGGGAGGTTGTGAATTGTTAAGATTGAGTGTAGTTTTTACTCTAACTGATACTAGGCAGCAACATCATCAACACTGGTACAGGAAAATAAGTTTGAGACGGGCTGAAAATGTTGTTGATGTTGGGGCCAGGATATAGGGATCTAAATTTTAAGGGATCTAAATTTTACATTGTGAACAGATTATAATTGTAATTTACCAAAAACTGCATTATTTTCTTCAGTGAAGTTATTTGGAGCTTTTACGTGTGTGAATTTTAATAAATCCGTCCATGCTAGACATTTACCGTTTCTATGTGAATATGTACATGAATCATTCCATGTAAATATGAACTGTTTATTTATGAAATAACATTCTTGCTGTATGTATATATGCATCAGAATATTTTTGAACAATAAACTATCTGATGTATTTATTTTGTTAGTGTTTTAAGTGGTATGTATCACTGTGTATGAAGGCCCTGGTGATCATGTATGACTAGGTACAGTGTCAGTGAAACCTGCTATACTTATACCACTGTAACAGTCACTGGATATAACTTCCTTACATCACACTGTATAGAAGTGTATTCATGAAAGCATTGCTTTTTGACAGTACATGTATTATTTCCTTATTCTGACAGTATTATTTCTGCTAAGTTGAACACCTTGTGAACATTTCTAATCAAGTGCTTGTGGAACTGTGCACCAAATATTCTGTAATCTGCATTTTCAACACCAGTGAATTCATCTTTTATCGTATAAACATTAAACCACTCTGCTCATGCATTAATCCTTTCACCACTGTAGACCATAATGGACTCATTAAAATCAATGCATGGCAGAGTCTACTGAAGTTGCATAGGGGTGAAAGGGTTAACATATTTTTTCGCATCTCCTATTTCTGCCCTCAAGTTGAGACCTTTTTTTTCTCCAAAAGATATATATCGGTAAATCAATTTTCTATTGATTATTTTGGCCATAACATAAAAAGAGGCAGCATGTAGATGTGATGTGGGTAGACAGGCAAGCACAGGCTCCATGAGCCTTTTGTCTGAAAGTGTCATAACTCAGGAAGTCAATATGCACAAGAACATGTTTATTCACTCAACACATTGGATAAAACTCTCCTTGGAAAGCACATAATCAGGAGAGAATATGCTGCAGAGAGATGTATAACCGGATAAAAGTGACAGGAGAGTTGTGTATGGTAATACTGGTTTACTGGTAGGGAGTGCAGTGTAACCAACTTGTCAGATACTGCTAGTCAACTCATCCTAATATTACTGATGTATGTGTCTATAGACTTGAGAACTAATTAGAAAACTTTATTCTAGTAGTAGATCTGGTACTAAAATGTTACAATCTGTAAAAATATACTTTTATATCTTTGAAATGGAAAAATCTTAATTATTCTATGTAACAATTTACATTAAGTCAATGCATATATAATATATACTTGAAAAAAAAATCATATTATTGAATAATATTTACAATGATACCAAATGTACATATTTGAATACAGAAATATATATCATACAGGAGTCATACATTTAACGTCTAAAGCATAAACATAACAACATTAAAATGCAAAATAAATTAAACTGAATGTATCGGTATGTAACACTGTACAACACTGACATGTCGGAACACTATGGCAGATCTAACTCCTGTCGATACTCTGTAGTCCTCAAAAGACCAGGTTTGTTTACTGAAAGTTTTATTTCAGTGGGAGGAATACACAGAATATATTTCCTTGTTCAATTGGATTACATACAGGTTAATTCAATCAGAAAAAATACACAGATGAGTCGTTAGACATTTCCTCGGATCACAGAAAACTAATTTATATAGTGGTTTGTTCGTAAGGGTTGACCGTTTTTTGACCGCCCCTTATTATAAAGGATTTTAATGATCATTATCCAAGTGATTTCTAATTCTAAGTTGGACGACGGTAGACCCGATCCGGTCGCCCAAAGCGATTTCAACGAGACTGATAACATATCAATATGGACAAGCATCACGATGCCGTTAACCAAATATATATAAAAATAATCAACACAGTTACAAATCACAATAAAAAAACGTACACATTATACACAAATCATACAGGAGTGTAAAGTTGTTCTCGGATCATTACAATTTACTAAAGCTATCACTTTCAGCAAATCTTGTTTGATTCCTCAAGAAACAAATATTACATCCTAATTATTGGTAAAAACCTGTATCAGTATATCACAATGCCTTTTTGATGTGGGTGTTTACGTTTCAGGAACAAGGCAAATTATGTTAGTCTTTTTAGAAAATATTATCGTCACTCGGTGATACTGACTATTTTGATTAAACCCACAGAAATCTGTAAGTACATGTTAAAACTACCTAACATACACTCAACTCCAATCACAACGTTATCTTTTTTAAACATTCGGGATTCCAATTCCAACATAATCAATTTCAGACATTCAGGATTTCAATTTCAACACTGCCGATCTTACATACAAAATACACAACCGCAATTATAATACAATCTACCATGTATATCCAGAACACAAACTTATTGAATTTCTTTCTATCCATTATCTATTCAAAAATTTGTGACCGTTTCGAGTAAATCTAGAACATATAGACCCTCCCTCATTCATCCGAATCATATTTTAGATTGAACTGACAGAATAATTTCCTTGTTCCTGAAAGTCTTTGAGAAGATGACGGATAATGTTTCGTCACTACGGAGACTCCGTTTCCTGTGGCCGCTGTTTCCTCGTCTTATTTGTTCCAAATCACTCTGTTGTTCTCATTTACCTGTAACAGATGGCATGGCTGTAGTAGACACAACAGAGCATTTTGTCACCGACAGTTCGGAACAGCAGTCAGACCGATCTGTTCAGCGGAAACAAGAGGGCCTAATGGGACGAATATGTAGCAACATCACTTAAAATGTTGTTAGCTTTTGGTTTTATGCGCTAACGAGGTATTGTTGAACCACCCAAAGACCAATTTGACAAGAAGACAGGTGGTCAACCATTTTTCAGAAGTACAGAAGAGGAACATGAACAAAGTTATTTATATTGAAAACGCTCGCTTGTCATTGATGACAAAATGTTATTTCGCAATAAAAGTACTTTCTGGGGATTTTTTCTTCTTCAAATTTCTAATAAAAACTGACCATATACATGGATGTCAAATACACTAAAAGGTGAGTATTTGCGGAGTTACCAGACTGATATTAAAAGGCGTTACAACAATACTCGTTCTGACATCACCCGCTACTGTTTCTGAATGACAGCTGCGCGCTAGTATTTGAGAGTTATAGCTATATAGGGAAATTGTGTTTGAATTCCCATTACTCGAGGATGAATCGGGTTCCAGTTACCAATATGGAGGGGATGCAGTCATCTCAACCCTACCTTCCTGCATCTCTGAGTACTGGAGGGAGTCCTGAAGGATCCTGAAGGACCTGGACTGTACATTGGGGTTGGTGTAACCCCGGTAATCTGTGGAATCCTCGACCACGTATGCATTTACTGGGGTCAACACATTTCCGGAGCTCTCAATGTTCACGGCATTCCTGAAATATAGCAATACTAAATGTATGGTGCAATCTCCTACTTCAGGTATCATATCGACACCCCACGTGATCTTTGCTCACACAATCCTTCTTCTAATATTTGTACAACCTCATGTCATGCAACCTTCTTTACCACTTTTCACGTCAGGTCCTATCTCCATCAATACCACCTCCCACGTCAGGTCCTATCTCCATCAATACCACCTCCCACGTCAGGTCCTATCTCCATCAATACCACCTCCCACGTCAGGTCCTATCTCCATCAATACCACCTCCCACGTCAGGTCCTATCTCCATCAATACCACCTCCCACGTCAGGTCCTATCTCCATCAATACCACCTCCCACGTCAGGTCCTATCTCCATCAATACCACCTCCCACGTCAGGTCCTATCTCCATCAATACCACCTCCCACGTCAGGTCCTATCTCCTTCAATACCACCTCCCACGTCAGGTCCTATCTCCT